GGTAGGCGAGCCGGGGGGACGGAGCAACTGCCCGGTCTGCTCGTCTGAAAAAAGTTGTTTAATCACGTCAAAGAAGTTACTCAATGGGCTGCCTGGGTACACAAAACAGAAGAGACAAAAAAAAAAAAAAAAAAAAAAAAAAACCACAGAGAGAAAGAGAAAGAGAAAGAGAAAGAGAGAGAGAGAGAACAAACAAACAAATGAACAATGGGATTTTTAACAAGAAGAACGTGATGAGAGATCCAGAGCCACGTGCATGGGGGTGTGTGGAGGATGAAGAGGATGAGCAGCAAGAGGAAGAGTGTTAGGATGGGACACCTCTGGCAGTGAAGAGGCTGGGAGCAAAACGTGCCAAGGAGGTGTCCTACTTGCATACCATGTGCTTGGGAGCAGAGATCCTACCTAGCAGGGGAACTCCATGGCTACGTGAGCCTGGCACGCAGCACCATGTTGTGGAAACAGCTATATGATTTGTTTGGAATTACTTGGCAACCCTATGAGTGGACTGTAACCCTCAGGGGATGCAGTTCCTGTGTAACTGCATTGATAAAGGTGGGGCATTAATGCATGATCAACTTTGCCTTGCAGCCTTAGCAACTTCTGTGTTAGACATTATGCTTTTCTTCCTTCCTTTAGTTACGCTGACTGGTCACTCCCTGAACGCCCACTCATCCACCTTCAGCCAGTCACTTGGCCTGGAACAACTATGCATTCCAGGGGAATACGAGCATTTGAGAAGTGAGTAGGGCTGGGATACAAGGGAGCAAACCTCAGCTAGTATGTGTGAGGCTGTGATTCTGCAAGGTTCTGAGCACCTTCAATCCTTGTTGACAACAGCAGGAGTTGAGAATGCTCAGCAGATTGCAGGACCAGGCTCCTGTGCACATGTGGTTTCTGGCTGGGATTTCACCTGGTGGGACCACAAAGCAAGAACTAGTATCTGCACTCCACCCTCTTTAAAACAGTCAATGCGCTTCGCTATTATGGAGCTGGAAGCCAAAGGAATTGCAGGGTCATACACTAATAGAAAACAGCATTAGGAAACTTTGATGAATTTAGCCACGAGATTGGGGCAAACTCTGGCGCAGATTGTGTGCTGCGCATCTGTCAGAACACAGCCTTTCATGTCACTGCAAAAATCTCTTTGGCTGCCATTTCCTCTTTTTATAACACCCTAGATACGTTTTATTATCATTGCCACATGGTGCTCCGGTGTATGAAGTGTCATTGTCCCATATCCACGTTGTACAATGGAACAACACTCTTCTCTATACCCCCTGAACAATGTAGTTATACAGACCTAACCCCCCTGTGTAGACAGCGCTTTATCAGCAGGAGAGCTTCTCTCTCACCAAAAAAAATTGGTCCAAAAAAAGTACCTCACCCACCTTGTCGCTCTAATTTTGGGATTACCTCACTTTACAAGGCACAAGTATTATGTAAGGAGCCCTCATTTACCTGCATAACTATAGGCCTGGTTGTGTCTGGTAAGTAGTATAGTGTTTAACTAAGTGCAGGTGCTGGTTCTGTGCACTGAACACAGCTGTCAAGTCCAAGCCACCATTAGCTACTGGACAGGTGCGACCTAGCTACCTGACTCAGGGTACGTCTTCACTACCCGCCGTATCGGCAGGTAGCAATTGATTTATCCGGGATCGATATATCGCGTCTTGTTAAGACGCGATATATCGATCCCCGAACGCGCTCACCGTCGACTCTGGAACTCCACCAGAGCGAGTGGCGGTAGCGCAGTCGATGGGGGAACCACAGTCGATCCTGCGTCGTCTGGACCCCAGGTAATTCGATCCAAGATACTTCGACTTCAGCTACGCTATTCGCGTAGCTGAAGTTGCATATCTTGGATTGATCCCCCCCCCTCCAGTGTAGACCAGCCGTTAGTCTTAGAAATGGCCCACACCAAAACCTTAGACTCCAACACCAACACCAAACACCTTCAGATTTGGGGGAAATTTGAAACCTGGATCCCAGTTTTGTGGCTGAGATGGGAAAAGCCATGAATTTCACACAAATTCCAGTTTGGATTCTGAAATCTCCCCAGAGTCCAGGGGGTGGAGGTTTCAGCTATAGGATTTTTACTGAGGCCCCTCTCTAAGGCTCAGTGAAGTTGTCCTAGCCAGATGGCTTGCAGGCACACGCTCTGTTCAGACTCTTCTCTACTTCTATGTGGTTACTCCCTTCCAATGGGAAAAACAAGTGGGGGCAGGGGGGAGGGGGACAGTCAGGGAATGCAAGTAACACTCAGCCTTGAATGCAGGACTGTGGACAGGGCAAGTTCTTATGTGGCTTTGGAGCCTCATCTTCATACACAAATGGAGTCAGCAGACAGAAAGAATGGAAGAGAGCACTAAAAAAAATGCTGGGTAGGGAGGGAAGGAGAGGGGGGTACTTCTAGTTATTCAGCTGAGCAGTTTATTCAACAGGCTTAGAGGGAAGGGGGAGGGCAGAATAAGCAGAGTTCTCTTGGGATTGGGAAGGTTTAAGTTCTTTGCATAGACAGGTACAGAAGACAAAAGTCTAATTTGCAAGAATGGACCAATAAAATGTTAGTACATTTTATATGTAAATGCTCTGCATTTGGTGAGTCCTGATACAGGATTTTTAATCCTCATATTAAAATATGCAACTCCTCCCCCACCCCCATGCCCTTCTGGTTCTCTAGTGTCTGGAGATTTACTGGGCCAACAGTATTTAATAGCCTACCTCCCCTTTGCCGATATCACTACTGAATTTCTTATAATCAGCATTCTCAGCTAAAATTTTAATGGGAAGTGAGAAATCTTTAGGGATATTCAGAGAGAGCTATTGAAAAAAAAATAGGCCATTTCACTAACCCTTTCTTTCCTTTGCCTTTTACAGTAGCTGAGGTAGGTTTATATTCATTAGAAAGAAGAGACTGAGTGGCGACATGATTGGGGCATGTGCATTTCTGAGTTGGTTGGTGGGGTGGATGTTGCAGAACTGTTGGAGAGGGGAGAAGGCTTGAAAACAAGTACTGAAGCTATGGAGGGACTGGGCATTGAGGGAGTGAAAGAGAAATATCTTTATGCAGAGGGTAATTCATGTGCAGAATAGACTGCCTAACGCCGCAAGAGAAGCTGCAACTGTGAACGGACTGGGTGCAGCCAGCACTAAGAGGAAGAAACTGCAGAACCTGCAAGTGAAGAGACCCTGTCCAGACAGGCTGCATGGACTCCCTCTCAGGACCCCATATTTCATTTGCCACTGCTAAGAAATCTGCTTGACATGGCACCAACGGGGCCAAAGCACTCTGGGCAAAGCCGACATGCTTCACGGAAGAAGAGCGGGTGGTTACACCAGGAACAATGTGTCTGCTTTGACCTCATAAAGAACCTCACCTCCTCCTGCCAGAACTATCAGAAACGAAAAGGAGGTGGGAAGGATTTGGAGCAGCACCAGGAAAGGTTTGCAAGCTGCTACGGCTGCTACAAGCTTGTGGCTTCATAAAACCGTAAGAGAGAGGAGGATTCAGTCCTGCATTGAGTGAAGCAAATGGCAAATTCCCATTGAATTAAATGGAAACTGGTCCTTTGAAGCCATCTCTTTCAAATGTATGTGTTTTTAATAAACTCATCCTTGTGGCGAGTAAGCACAAACAACATCACATAAAGCAAATATTCTGTCAGTAAGACTGTCCTGTGTGCCTCCCTGAGGTAAAGCTTGAGAGGATTTTGGTTCCCCACAGCGTTAGCTTGGTTGTTCCAGGAAAACTAATGGGAAGAGGTGGGTCTTACATTCCATTGGGAAGGCGGTGAGCCCCATTGTTAACCTGACCTGTGTTCTTCCTGGCTTCCCTTGCTGTAGGTTGTCTCTCTGATTCATGTCCTTTCAGACTGCTTCCTGTGTGCCTCTGCTGCCAGTGTTTCCTTTCAGTACCTCAGCGGCAGCTATGGTTTCAGTGATCCATGTGGCAAAAATCCAACTCCCGGTACAAAAAGCATTGAGGCCCTCTCTGACGAGTGGTAACCCATTGCTCTTTAAAATAAACTTTTCTGTTCTGCTAAGCTCAAACTCTCTTTGTTCAGAGGAGGGTTACTTTTTGTTTGCTTGTTTGGTGCTGGCAGACTCCCTGCCTTTCTAACCATAGGAACCAAAACTATAGGACCTGCTCCAAGAGGATATCCAGTGAGAAGTCTAAATTCCTGGCATCATGTGGGAGGGAGAGTTAAGAGTGGCTTGTTCCTCCTCTCACAAATATTATTATTAGGTTATCACCTAGGGGCCACAGTCAGGGATTAAAGCCCCATTGTACTAGGCACGGTGGAGATACATAACAAAGAGACAGTCTCTGCCCCAAAGAGCTCACAATCTAATAAAGCAAGACAGAAGGGGACAAGTGTTTTCTCTCAGTTGTATGGATGTCTGAGGCTTCCCGCTATGTTAGAGGAAGATGACAAAGGGCCCTGCCTTTATCTTTTCTGCCTTGCTAGAGGCCCGTATAAGAATCAGTGGAAATTATCCACATTTTTTCCCCTTGGCCTATTCTATTCCATTTGGATCAACAAGTGAATGGGGAAGAGGCAAAAATCTTAAGGTTGCCACTTTTGAATATGTAGCAAATACGTCGCAGAAGACATGCAGCTGACAATTTGCTAGATTTTTAAATGGTGTCAGTGGCCATCAAAGCCATTCCCCTTTTATTACTGCCCTGACAAATCATCTATTTGGGCAGCTTTCTGTATTTCATTTCCATTTAGTGCCCCTGAAAGGAACTAGCCTATTTGGTCTCCATGTGCTAGGCAGATCCACCAGCAAATGGAGCTGGATTGACAATCCAGGAGACTGATGTCTACTTTTACACAGAAGCACTCCAGCTTTTCCAACAATATGCCGGGCCTGGAAGGACTCCTTTTAGAGGTTTCCAT